CACAGAGAACCCCTCTCAAAATCAATAAAAATAGGTCAACACACCGACATCTAATAGTAAAACTTAGGAGTCTCAGAGACAAACAGAAAATCCTGAAAGCAGCTCGGGAGAAGAGATATGTAACCTATAATAGTAGAAACATTAGATTGGCAACAGACCTATCCACAGAGACCTGGAAGGCCAGAAAGCACTGGCATGATATCTTCAGAGCACTAAATGAGAAAAATATGCAGCCAAGAATACTATATCCAGCTAGGCTGTCATTGAAAATAGAAGAAGAGATAAAAAGCTTCCAGGACAAACAAAAACTAAAGGGATTTGCAAACACGAAACCAGCCCTACAAAAAATATTGAAAGTGGTCCTCTAAGCAAAGAGAGAGCCTAAAAGCAACAGAGACCAGAAGGGAACACAGACAATATACAGTAACAGTCACCTGACAGGCAATACAATGGCACTAAATTCCTATCTTCCAGTAGTTACCCTGAATGTGAATGGGCTAAATGCCCCAATCAAAAGACACAGGCTATCAGATTGGATTAAAAAACAAGACCCATCGATATGCTGTCTGCAAGAGACTCACTTTAGACCCAAAGACACCCCCAGATTGAAAATGAGGGGGTGGAAAACCAATTACCATGCTAATGGACACCAAAAGAAAGCTGCGATGGCAATCCTTATATCAGACAAATTAGATTTTAAACCAAGGACTGTAATAAGAGATGAGGAAAGACACTATATCCTACTTAAAGGGTCTATCCAACAAGAAGATCTAACAATTGTAAATATCTATGCCCCTAACATGGGTACGGCCAATTATATAAGGCAATTAATAACAAAATCAAAGAAACACATTGACAATACAATAATAGCGGGGGACTTTAACACCCCCCTCACTGAAATGGACAGATCATCTAAGCAAAAGATCAACAAGGAATAAACACTTTAAATGACACAGTGGACCAAATGGACTTCACAGACATATTCAGAACATTCCATTCCAAAGCAACAGAATACACATTCTTCTCTAGTGCCCATGGAACATTCTCCAGAATCGATCACATCCTAGGTCATAAAGCAGGGCTCAACTGGTACCAAAAGATTGGGTTCATTCCCTGACTATTTTCAGACTACAATGCTTTTAAACTAGAACTCAATCACAAGAGGAAAGTCAGAAAGAACTCAAATATATGGAGGCTAAAGAGCATCCTACTAAAGAATGAATGGGTCAACCAGGAAATTAAAGAAGAATTAAAAAAATTCATGGAAACCAATGAAAATGAAAACACAACTATTCAAAATCTTTGGGATGCAACAAAGGCAGTCCTAAGAGGAAAGTATATAGCAATACAAGACTTTCTCAAGAAACAAGAAAGGTTTCAAGTACACAACGTAACCCTCCACCTAAAGGAGCTGGAGAAAGAACAGCAAATAAAGCCTAAACCCAGCAGGAGAAGAGAAATCATAAAGATCAGAGCAGAAATCAATGAAATAGAAACCAAAAGAACAGTAGAACAGATCAACGAAACTAGGAGCTGGTTCTTTGAAAGAATTAACAAGATTGATAAACCCCTGGCCACACTTACCAAAAAGAAAAGAGAAATGACCCAAATCAACAAAATCATGAATGAAAGAGGAGAGATCACAACCAACACCAAAGAAATACAAACAATTATAAGAACATATTATGAGCAACTCTATGCCAGCAAATTAGATAACCTGGAAGAGATGGATGCATTCCTAGAGATGTATCAACTACCAAAACTGAACCAGGAAGAAATACAAAACCTGAACAGACCTATATCCACTAAGGAAATTGAAGCAGTCATCAAAAATCTCCCAACAAACAAGAGCCCAGGACCAGATGGCTTCCCAGGGGAATTCTACCAAACATTTCAAGAAGAATTAATACCCATTCCTCTGAAACTGTTCCAAAAAATAGAAATGGAAGGAAAACTTCCAAACTCGTTTTATGAGGCCACCATTACCTTAATCCCAAAACAGACAAAGACCCCATCAAAAAGGAGAATTACAGACCAATATCCTTGATGAACACGGATGCAAAAATTCTCACCAAAATACTAGCCAATAGGATCCAACAGTATATTAAAAGGATTATTCACCACAACCAAGAGGGATTTATCCCTGGGCTGCAAGGTTGGTTCAACATCCACAAATCAACCAACGTGATACAACCCATTAACAAAAAAAGGAACAAGAATCATATGATCCTCTCAATAGATGCAGAAAAAACATCTGACAAAGTACAGCATCCTTTCTTGAGCAAAACTCTTCAGAGTATAGGGATAGTGGGTACATACCTCAATATCATAAAAGCCATCTATGAAAAACCTACATCAAATATCATTCTCAATGGGGAAAAACTGAGAGCTTTCCCCCTAAGGTCAGGAACACGGCAGGAATGTCCACTATCACCACTGCTATTCAACATAGTTTAGAAGTCCTAGCCACAGCAATCAGACAACAAAAAGAAATAAAAGGCATCCAAATCGGCAAAGAAGAAGTCAAACTCTCACTCTTTGCAGATGATATGATACTTTATGTGGAAAACCCAAAAGACTCCACCCCAAAACTGCTAGAACTCATATAGGAATTCAGTAAAGTGGCAGGATATAAAATCAATGCACAGATCAGTGGCATTCCTATACACCAACAACAAGACAGAAGAAAGAGAAATTAAGGAGTCAATCCCATCTACAATTGCACCCAAAACCATAAGATACCTAGGAAATAATCTAACCAAAGAGGTAAAGGATCTGTACTCAGAAAACTATAAAATACTCATGAAAGAAATTGAGGAAGACACAAAGAAATGGAAAAACGTTCCATGCTCATGGATGGGAAGACCAAATATTGTGAAGATGTCAATGCTACCTAGAGCAATCTACACATTCAATGCAATCCCCATCAAAATACCATCCACTTTTTTCAAAGAAATGGAACAAATAATCCTAAAATTTGTATGAAACCAGAAAAGACCCCGAATAGCCAGAGGAATGTTAAAAAAGAAAAGCAAAGCTGATGGCATTATAATTCTGGACTTCAAGCTCTATTACAAAGCTGTCATCATCAAGACAGTATGGTAATGGCACAAAAACAGACACATAGATCAATGGAACAGAATAGAGAGCCCAGAAATGGACCCTCAACTCTAGGGTCAACTCATCTTTGACAAAGCAGGAAAGAATGTCCAATGGAAAAAAGACAGTCTCTTCAACAAATGGTGTTTGGAAAATTGGATAGCCACATGCAGAAGAATGAAACTGGACCATTTCCTTACACCACACACAAAAAGAGACTCAAAATGGTTGAAAGACCTCAATGTGAGACAGGAATCCATCAAAATCCTAGAGGAGAACACAGGCAGCAACCTCTTCGACCTCAGCCGCAGGAACTTCTTCCTAGAAACATTGCCAAAGGCAAGGGAAGCAAGGGCAAAAATGAGCTATTGGGACTTCATCAAGATAAAAAGCTTTTGCACTGCAAAAGAAACAGTCAACAAAACCAAAAGACAACCAACAGAATGGGAGAAGATATTTGCAAATGACATATCAGATAAAGGGCTAGTATCCAAAATCTATAAAGAACTTATCAAACTCAATATCCAAAGAACAAAGAGTCCAATCAAGAAATGGACAGAAGACATGAACAGACATATTTCCAATGAAAACATCCAAATGGACAACAGACACATGAAAAAGTACTCAACATCGCTCGGCATCAGGAAAATCCAAATCAAAACCTCAATTAGATACCACCTCACACCAGTCAGAATGGCTAAAATTAACAAGTCAGGAAAGGACAGATGTTGGCGGGGATGCAGAGAAAGGGGAACCCTCCTACACTGTTGGTGGGAATGCAAACTGGTGCAACCACTCTGGAAAACGGTATGGAGGTTCCTCAAAAAGTTGAAAATAGAGCTACCATACAATCCAGCAATTGCACTACTGGGTATTTACCCCAAAGATTCAAATGTAGGGATCTGAAGGGGTACATGCACCCCGATGTTTATAGCAGCAATGTCCACAATAGCCAAACTGTGGAAAGAGCCAAGATGTCCATCGACAGATGAATGGATAAAGATGTGGTATATATATACAATGGAATACTTTGCAGCCATCAAAAGGAATGAAATCTTGCCATTTGCAACAACGTGGATGGAACTGGAGGGTGTTATGCTGAGCGAAATAAGTCAATCAGAGAAAGACATATATCATATGACCTCACTGATATGAGGAATTCTTAATCTCAGGAAACAAACTGAGGGTTGCTGGGGGGGGTAGGAGGGATGGGGTGGCTGGGTGATAGACACTGGGGAGGGTATGTGCTATGGTGAGCGCTGTTAATTGTGCAAGACTGTTGAATCACAGATCTGTACCTCTGAAACAAATAATGCAATATATGTTAAGAAAAAAAAAAGAAGATAGCAGGAGGGGAAGAATGAAGGGGGGGAAATCGGAGGGGGAGACGAACCATGAGAGACTATGGACTCTGAAAAACAAACTGAGGGTTCTGGGGGCGGGTGGGAGGATGGGTTGGCCTGGTGATGGGTATTAAAGAGGGCACATTCTGCATGGAGCACTGGGTGTTATGCACAAACAATGAATCATGCAACAGTACATCAAAAACTAATTATGTAATGTATGGTGATTAACATAACAATAAAATTTTTTTTTAAAAAAGCTCATGTGCCATGTTTCAAAAAATTTTAAATGTCATAAAGTCTCATTTTAGTGAGGATATGGGAAAATATGCGTTCTTACATATTGTTGATTAAAGCATATATGAGCCCCAATATGGGTTTGGTATCTCATCAAGGAAAAAAAGCATGTAAAACAGTAGTACACCATGAAGCAAATTTTGTGATAATATTAATACTAATAAAAGTGTAATTGTAATTCAGGGTCTCTTGCTGCAGCAACTTGAGTGGGAGCACCAGGCGCTGGGTTCGGAGTGGAATTCCACAGATCGCTTTAAGAAAATGGCAGACAAGCCGGACATGGGGGAAATTGCCAGCTTCGATAAGGCCAAGCTGAAGAAAATGGAGAGGCAGGAGAACACCCTGCCAACCAAAGAGACCACTGAGCAGGAGAAGCAGAGTGAAATTTCCCAAGAACCTAGAGGATTCCCCACCCCTGTCATCTTCGAGACACCCCAGTCATGATGTGGAGTAAGAAGAGCCACCTGCAAGATGGACAAGAGCAACAAGCTGCACTGTGAACCCGGGCACTCGGTGCCGACGCCACCGGCCTGCGGGTCTCTGAGGGGACCCCCCCGCCAAATCGGACTGCCAAATTCTCCGGTTTGCCCTGGGATATTATAGCAAATTATCTGTATGTTTAATGAAAATAAAACACACCTCGTGGCAAAAAAATAAAATAAATAAAAGTAATTCTGTTAAAGATTACTAGAATAAATGTATACACATACATATATATATATATACATATACATACACACACACACACACACACATATATATATATGAATAAGAACCACTATTTTAATGGTGTGTTTTAGTGGTAGCATAATGCATACTCAGAAATGCACTTTAAATATTATGCTATATTAAAGCAATTCAGTTCATCGTTAGACTGGTTTCAAAATTCACCAAAATGCTTAGAGTAAATATTTCTGTAGATGAGTTTTGAGTAAGAAACTTCAAATTAGTTTCTGGAAAATGAATTATCTGTGTTGAGTAGAATTAGATCACAGACACTCACTAAAAGCCTAGAGCTATTTTCTGGAAATTTCCGTTGACTGTAACTAATGCAGCCATTTACTCTAGTGCTATGTTTAGTTGTTCTCTGCCACCATTCAGTTGTTTTTATCTGGCATATCATGTGTGCTTACCCTCTCAGAGCTGGACTATTCCAGGAAATTGCCTGTGAGACTTCTGAACATCTACTGTTCTGGGGGCAGTCTGGCTTATGTCTATATTAGGTGAATTCGGCAAAGAGATTTTTTGCCTTAAAGAAAAACTTAATGACATTTCAAATAAAATAACAAACAGGCTTTTTTTTCCTAAAGTAAAAAAGTGATGGGTCAGATTAAGCCCTGATTATAGATATCGACATGAAGAAACATACAAAATTAGAAAACTAGAATGAATGCACATTTTCTTTCTTAATATTCACCCAGACAAAAGAATTTATGAAGATATAGTACTTTTTAAATGGGAAAAACTAAAATAAAGTGAGGAGGGAAAAATAACAGACTTGGCTTTTCTCATTGTGTTCTAGTTTGGATCCTAAGCACAAGTATTTATTTTTCTATACTTGGGTGTGCAGATGAAAGAGGAGGTATCATAATGTACAAAAGAAAGAGCTTGGGCTTTATCATTAATCACCTTAGGATCAGATACTTACCAACCATGTATTCTCAGGTAGATAACTTCCCTTCTCTAAGTCTTTGTTCCCCATAAATGTAAATGGAGATAAGTAAAACACCTGAAGTGCTTCCCAGAGTAAAATGGGTAATAGGTGGTACACCCTATGACTGGAGTAAAATGTGTTAATGAATGCTGGAATTCCTTAGAAATTGCCATGCAAATGATTATCATGTTATCATTGTGTTACTTCTGGGATTGAATGAGATTCTCCAATTCTCCGCAAATACTGATGTCATAAAAATTTATGAACAATATTAAGCTGTATCATTGCCTTATGAAAGAGGAAATGGAGAGAACATAGGACACACTTTACTACTTGATATTTCATCAGAATGGTCCCTGATGGCAATTCTGATTGTAAAGGGCTATTTCTCTACTGTGCCATGAATGAGAGAAAAGAAGCATGCACAATGTAGCCCCCACCATTGAGAAATATTCCATCTGGCTAGGGCAAGACAGAAAAAGAGTGAGATTTAAAGTGTTTGCTAAAGAGAGGACACGCAAGGTCTTTAATATTAGTCTCTGGTGGGAAGTATTATGCTTTTAGTTTGTATAAAGTACCATGTTTTCATTGAACCTCTCCATGTTAAAATATGGAGAAACCTAGTAAATAACTGTAGAAATGTAATGATTCCAGAGAAAGTATTCAAAAATACATGGATGTTGAGAATTTATACTGAAGCTCATCAAAGCAGAGTCTACTAGTCATCATCTTTACCTGTAGATTTAAGCCATAAAATAGCCATGGCTATTTGACATATCCAGTGAAGGAATTTTAAAGTATTATCTATCCCTGAGATTGAAACTTAGCAAACTTAGGGATTAGCTCAAGGAATAAAATCCTTTTGATTGATCAGAAGTATTTAAATTCAACAGCCTGAGAAAAAACATCCTGTCTTTACTTATTAGAATAACAGAAAATAATCATCAAAGATGGTTAAAGACAATGGAGAAGAGAAATAATGAGCAGTGTATACGTGTCTTACAAGAAAAGGCCAAAGTCAAATCATCCTCTGGATTTCTGTAGCCCTCTTTTTCTATCCTGTGCCCCATAGGTATGAAATAAACAGGTAGTTCCATTATAAGTGGGAGAGTACACTTGTAGGAGCTCAGTGGGTTATAAATGAGCTCCATATAGATGCAGTAAAATGCATTTTAGTCCCAAAAGATATAATTGCCTTGTACACAATAAAGTTATAATAGCATAGGAAGGAAAATTTTCAAAAATCCTTTCATTTCATGTTAACATGATGAAGATAACTATGGCAACATTTCCTGACAGCCTAAATTAAATGGTAGATTCTGAAAAAAATCCAAATTGACTTCAGAAAGGAAATGGATTAATGAATGTCTACATAAATCTAATTTAAAGAAAATGCTTTATACAATAATGGAATGTCTGTCTTAATTACAATACATTTTAATTTTGTGTTCAACCTTGGCAATGATTTATTTACTCTGAAATGTACTTATTCATGATGACGCTTAGGTAACAATCAAAAGCTTTCTATTGCTTTCCTAGTTACTAGAGTGGATGCAATGATGCTATGCCTATATGACAGAAAACTCAGTATATTAAAAATAAAAGCAATGTTCAAATTCACAACAGTTTTGAGATAAGAATTCTAAGTAAGCCAAATATCCAGCTACCAATAGAGTGCCCAATTCCCTATGTCCACAAAGAAATACACTATGGAGCCATGCATTTCCACAGAGGCCACTTTCACAAACACATATGCATTGTATCTGTGTATATATTATCTACTTTGGCACCAAACTGGTATAGTTTCCTCACCCTACTGAACTGGACTCATGAGTAGGCTCACTTAGAGATTATATTCGAGTCAGACATGAGCAAGTTCCTCCAGGTTTTCTTATTTCTCATCTCCTTGCTCCTATTTGTTCTTTCAAGGTAGAAGCATGTTCTTAGGCTTCCCAACCAAAGAAAAGAGAATTTTCCTAAGCATATTTAATTTTAATCCTTTCAGAATTCCAACCATTACCGGTGACCCCACCCGGTCAATTGATGAGCCTCTATCTATTGTGTCTTTGTAAATTATATCAGTGTTCTTTGGCAGGGGCAAGAGGAAGTGACAAGAAACATCCTTGAATTTCTCTTGACTTATATTTCACTAAAAATACTGATGACACCAATATCATACTCTATGGACTAATATTTTAAGTGATGCTTTATTTTAACTCCTTAAGTATATTAATATCTTTCGGTTAGAGACAAGATATATTAAAAAAGTATTTTGAGAAAACTGCCAATGAATATTTCCAAAGAACAGCATGAGTATTTGTTTAATGCGAGAAGGAACGAATGTATAAACTGTCTTCTGCTGGATCCAATTAAGTTCTTCAGAATCTCTCAGGCCTAAACTAGATGGCTAATCCAAGAGTGAAGGAAAAAGAAATTCTGAAATGTTTCCTTCCTTATTTCATACACATTTGCCAAAACTTCTTTATAGTGATTAAGGAAACAAACCTAAACAAGCGTTCTTGATGATGCAACTACTTTCAGAGCTTAGTAAAAATGGCCTTGCATAGAACAACTAGTCTATTTGAGTGAAGGATTCATTTCCTTTCAATGGCGTTCACTTAACTTGCTTTAATCAATCCTATAATTTAGGGACAGTTGAAAGCAGCTATCAAAAACACTGATTTCTTTCAAGTTTTCTCAAAATTTCAAAGTCTTCATTCAAATCTTCACAGCAATACTCTATAAATAAAACATCAAAAAACTTAAATATGCATATTTCACATAACTTGGCCTGTGCTATCCCAGCACTATGTTCAAAGGCTCATTAAACAATTACATGATTATACAAAATGACTTTTATTATTTCCTCTAATATGTGACTTACATATGTTTTATATTAGTGAGATTTAAATATAAATACCATCCTCTAAAACTTTTTCACTTTTTTAAGGAAATTCTCAAGAGAATTCATAGAACATTGATATTTCCATGGCAACTGGTTGGTGTTTTAGCACCAAAAGAGAGATCATTCATCCTATTCTATAAAATGTGTTCTCTATCACATATTTAATTTGGCTAAAAAAACTAACTGATCTATACTACATTTTCTCTTGTGTCAAACACAAATTCTTAGAACTTAAGTGCTTTAGTGGTATCTATTAGCTATTCAAGTGCAAGAAGTCCTTCAATTTTCTGAGAATAAAACATCCAAAATTTGAGACATTTTGCAAATTTGTACTCAAAGTATAATTACAAGCCTTCTATTTTTATCAGTGTTGTGGCACTTCTGGTGCCTATCTTGCCATGCACAGCATACATAATAAAAATTTTTTTGTTTGGGTTTTTTTTTTCCCCCCCTCTGGTTAGGTTTCCCAGTTAGCTGGTTAGGCTGTGCTAACTACAAAAGTTAAGTAAGTGTATTAGTGGAGTTTGCACTTAAATCAATTTCCAAGAATTAGGCCATTTGATGATGATGGTCTAACGCTACTCAGTTGGTCTAATACGACTTCAACTCAAGTGTATGGGATCTAAATGAAGAACACTTGCCCAAGACTCAAACTGAAGAGTAAAAGATGCTATAAGAAAACGGCTGAATTTCAGCTTAGGTGGTTCCTTTTGGCACTAGCAAAATAATCATCACTGCATAATTTTTCTGAACCTTTACCATCTACTCTAAAATTACCTACTCTAAAATTAAGAGACTCTGATGGGTCAAAATACAGAGACCAGCTAAGAAAGTATCTGTAATATTTAAGCATAAAGTCCTTGTAACTTGAGTGTCAAATGCCAT